AGCTTATTTCCTTGGATAACAAAGAACACTGGAATTATTATTTGTCTATAATGGTTTCAAAGCAAAGGTATAAAATAACTACAGATTTCCTCCCTATTCAAATACTGTACTGATATTTGGTTTTATCTGGAATGTGTAAGATTTTCGTTCCTCTGGTACATTATGACCTTCTATTCTAAAGTAAACTTCCTTTCATAGATGTGTAAAATTTTCCTAAAATTTCTGAAAATATAATTTCTAAATGTCTTTCTAGCACCTTTTATTTTTGCATTGGCATTTCCATAAAATCACACACACACTCAGGAGTAGAATTCTGCAATCACAGAGTTGAAGCATTGGGAAGAAATAAGGTAAGTATCAGCCCCTGAAGGCCTACATCAAGATCCTGTACCAACGGAGCAATGAAAACTTTCCTTCAGCTTTTAGATTCTGTTTTGAAAATGAGTTTTTTTCATCTTGCCATTAAATTCCTAGAATATAACCTTAACATTTCTTTTAATATGTTACTTATATTTCTCCTTTTGACAAAAATTCCAGTGTTAAATAGAGCTGGGCTCAGAATTTATACAATATTGCTGGAAGTGCCCTCTCACAGAAATTCTCCAGATATTATGTAATCTATAGTCTAAAATAAAAATACATTTTAATAGGTTTCCCATATATAAATTAAAAGGACTTCACTAGTACAGTGATCTAATGGAAGGTGAAATCTCTTAATTTTATAACAAATTGTCTCTATGTAAAATATATCTAAATTTAAAGCACACAGAATGTAGTATACTTATAAAATGAAATTATAGTTTGATTTAAAATTCTTTGTTTGATTCAAAAATTAAATAGGCCATCAGTAGAGTAGCCTGAAGAACAATTATTTATGAGCACATAAAACATAGAATTAATTTAGAGGACAGCATCAAGGTATTTAAAAATCTATTCCTTGGAAGGAATCGATCTCATGTGCACAGACATACCCAAGAACTGTGAATCACATCACAGAATTAAAATAGTAAAAGCAAGCTGCTTTTCCAGACATCAGGTGCTGTGTGTGTGTGTGCATGTGTGTGCGTGTGTGTGTGTTTTAAGTATTAGTATTCTAATGTCCTTTTGGGGGTTTCTATCTAAGCAATAACTGTTAGATAAGAACAAAGTTCCGTCTGAATTTTTCTCAAGCAGTAGACACTCAATGAATTTTCCTAACTAGAAGTGAACAGATTGATGTATGAATAATCACACCCGAATTGTATTCACAGTCTCCTTCTTTAGTCTTTCCAATCTATTATGTGAACCTTGCTAGATTAATCCCCCTGACGTGATATTACATAGTGATTTTCTCAAAACCCCTTCTTCGTTTTATAGATCCATAAATATTGACTCTAGTAAGACATTCAGGATTCTCTATAAAAACACAACCCCGTTGCCTTTCGCTATTTCCCCGCATTCTTCCTTACCACCCACATGGCTCTCTCTGCTCACTACTTCTCAGACTTTTCTACTCTACCTTCATGCTTTTGTACCCTCTCTCCCAAACTCTGATTATCCTTTGTTGAGATTCTTAACCTTCAGCAAAGCTTTGCCCGACAACCACAGCCAAGGCTGTGCTCTTGCACAATGGTTAAAATCACTGCCTGAACTCTGTGCTTTGGAAGCCTCCATGTGCAGGAGATGGTACCTGCAAGCATGGACTCCCATCGCAGAAGCGGAGCTGTCTTGCTTACACATTCAGCTACTCCCTCCTCTACCCACGACAGCATCCAGTGTGTCAGCCGGGTCTGTCTGCTCTGACCGCAGACAGACTCCTATTCACGTCTGGTCTTTGCTACTTCTTAAATGATTTGCCTCAACAACCACAAGTCCGCTTGCCGCCACTGCGATCCGGGTGTGTTCCCTGTTCTTCACCCCTCTTACGTTCCGAAGTCCATCAACCAAATTGTTCTTTTTAAAAAAATAGATATTTCTAGAGTATTTAATACTTTAAAGATTTCACAACATATTTACAGTCAAAACTGAATCTTTACAATGCCCTATAAGGCTCGCTACATGAACTGATCTCTGGATCTCATCTAATCTCATTTTCTACCCTTCTCACCTCGTACCTTATGTTGTTACGTTTGCCCTTTCCTATGCATAGAATCTGAAACCTGGGATTCTCCTTGGGAAATCTGCACTTTCAGTTTCATTGACCTGTAATTTTCCACCCTCAGATCTAACGTGGTTGACTCATTTTGTCTTTCAGATCGCAGGCTTGATGTTAGTTTCTCAAAAAAGCTCTCTTCACGCAACATCCTTAACGCACACACATCACAGCCATTATCTCTCATATTCTTAATTTGGAGCATTTGCTGCTGAATATAACGCTGTGTTCAAGCAGAGTCAAGGTGTTTGTCACTCCTGTATTCCCAGTGCCCGCAGTCTTACTCACTGTTATATCTCTAGTCTTCAGAACAGTGTCTGTCATAAATCAGTGGGCAGTCAAAACTAACTTTTGAGAAAATAAATGATAAAAAATAGAAAAATGAAAAAATTAGATAAAATTACTCCTGTATTTGTATACTTTTTAAAAACTGTATTAATATTGCAGGATGTATTTGATAATTACACATGATATTTTTCATTTCAATACCTCCGTTTATTCACCTAGTTAAAAATATTAAGTGGGTAGTATTATGGTGGGTACAGCAGTTAACTCTAGAGCTTCATCACCAAGGGGTTAGAGGAGAAATGCAGCAGAAACCAGAATTATTTGTGGTGGTTGGAGCAGTTACAAAAGGCTTTCCAGAAGAAGTAACATTCAAATGAAGACCAGAAGGTGAATGGGAAACCGCAAATCAGAAATGGGAGTGACAGGTACAAGAATACATTCATCAACTTCTTTACCTCCCACCTTACCCATCAGTGTTTTCCAAAATAAAACTAGAATATGAGGGGAACAAAGCAGAAAGATCACACATGCAGTGAAAACTGGCTGCTACATTTAGTCTCCTACCTTTTACAGGGCCCAGGCGACAAAAGATGAGGAAAAGAAAGAGGATATGAAAATAATATTTATATCTATGCTGTGCCAAATAATGTTTTCCACATAAATAATATTCTTCTGCTCTCTCAGCCTCATTTCTGGAGCTCACTGACCATTCTAAATCATGTTTAGGACTGAGGTTCTTTTTTTTTTTTTTGCTGATGCCAGAGATTGAACTCAGAGCTTTGCACTTGCAAGGCAGGCACAGTTCCACTGAGCTACATCCCCAGACCCAGGACTGAGGTTCTAACTAGATCCTTTCCAATCTTCTGAAATCCATGTCTATTCCTAATATGTTATTGGACTAGGCCAGTGATTCTAAACTATGGCTTCACACTGGAATCAAGCATTGAGGATGCTCTCCAACCCAATAAATACAAAATATGGGGGAATGACACGCAGCCTTCAGTAGCAGTGAATGATTCTCAGGTGATTTTGATAGGCAGCCAAGTTTTAGTACCACTTGTCTAGCCAAGGACAGAGCTTCAGCCAGTTTAATTAATTAATTTTGGTTATCTCATCTGTATTTCTTCTTTCAAGCAGGATTCCACTTAAACCACAAACGATGATTCTATTCTTTGGCATGGCTTCTTTAATCCATTAGTCCTGAAAAAGTCAACTGTGAAGGTTGAAATAGCATAACCAAGTAATTAAGCTACTTTCCTCTCAGCATACCATCTACTGTGTCTGTTTTAATAATTCTTGGCTTCACCAGCATATGCTATCAGATGCAATTCTCTATGGGCTGGCGCTACATATTTTTAGTAACCCTAGCATTAGAAAGAAGAACAGAAGGAAGGAACACCATTTACATAACTATAAGGACATGATTCATTGAAGTTTGCAAAAGAATATCATAGGGGAATTAATGAAATTTAAAGATTAATTTTCTTTTCACTTGCTACAATGAAAGATCAGTTAGCACTTAACAAAAGCCCCATTGTATATATTATTACTAAAATGAATAACAGCTGCTGGCAGCCACTACTCCCAAAATAATATCTTCTTATTGCCCAGGCAAAAGAATACTTTACACAACCTGTATCTTAGAGTTCTCAACTGTGAAATTTAACCCTATCAGCACCCGCCTTCGAAAATAAATGCCTAATTTGAATGTAACTGTAGACCCTTGAGGTAAAGCAATGAATCACATCTTAGAAAAGTATTTTTTAATAATCAATAGATATCTCGATCCTTGTTTCTTTGAATTAGTTCATAGGCCCAATCTCTACTTAGGACAAAGATCACTGAAAATTAACATCATGTGATGTCATTGTATGACCCTCTAATCCAAAGATCTTCCTTTCTCTGTGTTATGCCTATGCTCATTAATCATGAACTTGATTCAGTAATAAGACTAATTAGACTAGAAATAGATTAGCATTTTCTTTTATCTTTAAAATAATATGATTCGCTTAGGAAGTTACCATTGCCTATCAGATTGTGGAAGAGTAGAGATGGGAACAAGGGAAATCTAACTGTGATTTTAAAAATGTTTGCAACATCATTATTTTCTATCTATGAATAAAACAACACTGTAAGTATGAATAATTAATTTGATCTCCTAATTACGGAAGTTCTGATAATTACCAGAAATATATTACTGGCTTCCAGCTTAATTTATATAGCACAAAATCTAACAAAATAATAGTAGTTTTGAAGAATTGTTCTAAAGTAGAATATCTCCCAAATTTAAATTCTACCCTCCCTAACCTAACCATAGTCTGTACATTTTTAAGAATGTCTACTCAACAGATGTAACAATTTCTCCAGGATTATTCTCAAATATTTTTTAAGATTACCACAATTCCATTGACCTTGGCCATTTTATAGCACACTGGTGGATGTTGGCAAAAGAAAATTCTCCTGATTTGTCACATGGCATTGTAAGGTTTATGTGATTAAGCAAGATTTGTCCAGAAAGTGACAGTTCACATTTTCTCACGTTATGATGAAATTGCGGAACTGCTACATTTGATCTGCGTACCATGAGGCTGACTCAGAGAGGAGGCAGGGCAGGACTGTTCCCGTCTGTGTCAACTTCCAGGGAAAGATTCTCAGCCAGTGGTCCAGAGTTTATTTTATGCTGAAGATAAAACATTAAACATTTACTTCATATCGTCAATTGTACAGTATAATAGGGCTCACAGTATAGGGCTTCCTACCATTCAATGTGATTTACTTATTCATTCTTATACCGCCACTGTTCTGCTCATTTTCAATCCTCTTATATCAGTCCTTCTATATATTTGTCATATTTGTCTCTGTGTGTACCTTACATGGCAGCTATTTTCTTTAAAACATATCAGGTATTGGCTTCATTTTTAAGGTAATTTTCTAATCTTGATTTTTAATGATACATTTTTAAAATATTACCAAATAGGAAAGATTTGAAATGAGAATTGATCTTGAATGGTAGTATATTTTTGGTTGATTATTCTGTTCTTCCTGTGCGGGTTTGTGACATAATAAATATATGTCTTGTCCCCCTTTCTCCTATTGCTGGAATACAAAACCTAAAATCCTTGGAGTCTCCAGAGTGATAAGGGTCATATTTATGTTAATGAGATGATTGGTGGCTTGGGGTCCGGGATGCCTTCAGATGAGGGCTGGATGCCAGGAATCAACTATGTAATCAGAGGATTACCTGTTTGGCTCTCTACCCTGTCTGAGAGGAGAGAGGGGCTGAAGATTTAGAAGATCACTATTGGCCAATTATCTAATAGATAACTCACATAATGGATGCCCCTCTCACAATTAATCCACCATAGAAGCCCCATGGGTAGTTTGGAGGCCTCCCATGTGCTAACCATGGAGGGTGTTGGGATGCTGGTACACCTGGAGAGGGAATAGAGAAGATTCTTTCACCTTCCCATATAACTTGTTCTATGCCCATGTTTTGGATGCTCATTGGTATATTTTATAAGAAACCAGTAAACTTATGTGTTTCCCTGAGTCCTGTAAACTCCTCTAGCAAACAAACCCAATGAGCAGGTTTGAGTTATAGCAGTTCATTAAGAAGCAAAGATACTTGGGACTGGCTTCTCAATGGAGGAGCCCGTGTCGCAGCACCTAGGACTGTATGATCTTATGTTCTCTCCAGGACAGCATCAGAATTGAGTCAAGTTTTAGGCTATTCAGTTACTGCCTATCAAAAATTGAATAATTGCTTGGTATAAGAAAAAAACATATTATTTAGTGAATAGACTGAAGTGGTGGGATTGTGAAAGGAGAATATAGAGAAAAAGTTTGCTTTTCTCTGTATAGCATTAGACTTGTATCAATCATGTTTTAAGCCACAAGAGCAATGCCATGCACGGAAGATGAAACTATAAGGAGGCATGACTGTGAAACAGAAATGCAACAGCACAAACATGCATACGATAGAATTAACAAAGCATTGCAGGTGAGATATTAGACCTATTCATGATCTATACAGGTAGAAGTGGCAAAAGAAAAGCAATGATAGTCTACTTGGTATAAAGATAGGGAGATTACAAATAATACTAAAACCCACAAGCAAAATAGGCATCTAGCAGCTGATAAGTGTAATGTAACAACTTAAGCATACCAAGCAGGTTGAATGAAAGAAATCAAGATCAGAAGTAATCAAGATCTGTGAGTATGGTACGTCTCAATGACAGAAAAAGAGATTGTGCTACTCTCGATTAAGCAACTCTGGATTAAAGGAGTTATAAGAGACAAGTGCGGGGCCGGGGATTTAGCTCAGCGGTTCGGTGGCCTGCCTCTCAAGCGCAAGGACCCGAGTTCAATCCCTAGTAAAAAAAAAAAAAAAAAAATAGACAAGTGGGAAGTGTCATTAGGTAGAAGCAAGACTGAGGAATTAAGGAGGATGCTAATTGTAAAAGACTGTGTGTGGAGATATTCCATCCTCTGTTATAGAGAATCACAAGACCCTGGAGCATTGTTAGCAGGAAAATACCAACGTCTATCTCTGGAACCATCTCTTTTCATCTAGGGAACTCTAGATAGAGTAAGTTTCAAATGAAATGATCCAGATGAAAGAATTGAATTTAAAGCTTTGAGATGCATAGAAGACAGAAATTAGAGAGGACAAGGAACTAGAAATTACAGGATTTAGTGACCAAGGAAGAAAACGTCTGTTATTGCCCCCAAGGTTTTTGCTATGATTAAATAATATTTGCAGTACGAAATGAGAAAGGAGGGTCAGTTTAGAGGGAAACATGATGACTTATTCAGCCCCTCAAGAAAAGATATCTTTTTTTAATTGAGTTTATTGGTACATTTTAGGCATACAGTCCAGTTACATTCATTATTGGGATCTTGTACCTTTGCATGACAGGTGTTGGTTCTCATTTTTTCCCCTTGTCCCTGCCCTCCCTTCACCCCCTCCTACCCTCCCCGTGTACAAACACTTTATTTCCATTTTTTCATTTTCCCCTATTTTTTTAAGAAAAGATATCTTTTACACGCCCAGGTAAACTGCTCCAGGGCGCAGTATGGTTTAGAATGTTAGAAAGCTAATATAACAAAGAAGCAAGCAGTTAATAGTCTCAAATCTTACAGGAACCCAATAAGGCATTATTGCAAAACACAAATAGTGTGCAAATAAAATAGTTCATTGGTGATCAGTAAGTTTGCTGGAAGCCCTTTGGTAGGAGCCGGACTATACAGACTTTTGAATGAATAAAATGTATTTAATGGCTTCATTATCTTCTCTCTGAAAGGAAAGATTACAAAGGGAATCTGGAAGCAGTTGAAGAGGAGTTTTTTCTTTTTTGTATTTTTTTAGTAGTAAACTCTTAAACATATTTAGGTCTAGAAATAAGTAGGCAGGGTGGAGGAAATGCTGAAAGGAAAGCAAGGATGATAAAATCGATCTACTGAGACATTGAAGATTTGGGAGTGGAACAGGACTGGCATACACGCTCTGGGCTGACATCTTTATGTTGAAGTGCAAGAAAGGACGTGATGATAGGTCAATACTAGCACTTTAGGGAAGTGTAAGGAATTTTCACTAACCAGCCTTCAAGCTCTTAGTTAAATAGGAGCTTTATTCAGTTTGTTTTATGCTAGGGTTTGGTTTTGTTTGGGTTTTATCTTTTTGTTTTTAGAGACAGGGTCTCACACTGTAGTTCAGGCTGACCTTGAACTCACCCTGTAGCCCAGGATAGCCATGAAGTCCATGTGATCCTCCTGCCTCAGCCTCCAGAATGTTGAGATTACAGGTGTGTGCCACCACCCTTGGGCCTATCTGGTTTTATTGTATATGTTTTGTTTATGAAATGCATAAAAGTATGTACCTTTAAAAAATTCCTACTAGGTAGATTTTGCAATAATGCACTCTAATGTGTATTAGAGATATTTTCACAGGCAGCATTTGAGACACTTAAATTTCTTATATATCTTTCAAACCATCTGATTTATGACATTTAATAATTCTCACATCATTTTTTAGCAAAAAAGAACTGAACTGTGTTACCACAAAGATAAATAACATTGTTTTTTCTTTTGCCACCAGTTTGTTTCATTTGTAATGATGAATTAGTAAATACACATTTGACGTTATGTCTATATATGTAGATTCTAGTCTGTGTTATAAACATATGTTTTATATAAATTATATATAAATGTATCTTATATGAAATACATGAAATATGTTATATAAATATATTTTATACAAAGTATATATAGAGAGAGATAAAATATTTGGAAAAAAATCATCAACCCAAAGAGGGCTATCCTAAAATTCTCCATATGTTTCATTTAATATGTAAAAGAGATCTGGAGTATGAAAGGAATCTTTGGATAGCTGGTTCATCTAAGAGAGGGGCTTGTCCTCTCATATTTTTCAGGCCAGGTTGATTTACCCAACAGTCTACTGGTTTCTGACGTTTTCACTACCAATATCATTCAGCAAATCATCATATTGATGCTACACCAATTATTAGTATAGCAAATAAATGTATCTACTCTCCTATAATCCACAATTTATCTCAGCTATGCCTTGATGTTTTCTACAATTTTTTCTACAAGTATGAAGTTACTAGATTATGCATCTTTCAATCTGTGACATTATCCTTGAAATATACACTGTTCCACTAACTTAAACAGCAAGGCAGTTTCCAGTTTTAACAGGTTCATATTTTGCAACATTAAAAATGAAATTATACTTATTTTATTTAGGTTTTGCATTTTGATTGCTTTAGGGTCTGTATGTAAATTCTCTTGATAATTTTAGTATACTACCAAATACATTTTTATTGGATTTATATGTGAAAATATGAGGAAAGTAACATTTAGAAAAGAAAAAAATAGCAACTCTATTAGAAAAAATGGAAATATAAAGTCTTACAATTTAAAAAGTTGGTACTATTTTCCCTTTTATGAGAAGTAAACATGCAGAGTAGTAAGGGTACACTGTTAGGGTTTAATTGCCTAATCCATTTAAAGAAAAAGACCATTTAATTTCTTTTTAACATGGGAACTAAATCTCCCCAAAACCTTCTATGCATTATGTTCTCTTTGCATTATGATCCCAGCAAGTTGATCTTACAAAGTCTGTTGATAAATGCCTTGGTCTTTAATGGCACAACTGCCCTCCTGTACAACTGAAATAGGAGGATTTGAAAATCAAGACTAGGACTGACTTTTTTTTTTTTGCATTTTAAATCACGCTTTTACTTTTTAAAAAGCATTCTCCTGTATTACTATCCCCTTTCTCTTCCTGCAGTTTTACCCTTTCTTTTAATCCCTGACCTAGGAATTATCCATTAAATTACTTATTTGTGGCTATTTGAACAAAACCATATTTCTATTCTTCTCACTTCCCATATCATTTTTCTTTGTAGAATACTATAATTTATTCAAAATATTCAGCCTGCAGTACTACTCCCTTGTCTCTAGGGGATACACTGCAAGACCCCCAGTGATTGTCTGAATCATGGGTAACACTGAACCCTACTTATATTATTTTTCCTATAACCACCAATCTACAATAGGGTGGAGTTTATAAATCAGACACAATAAGAGATTGACAACAATAACTAATGAAGGATATTAATTATAATATGACACTGTAATAAAAGTTATGGAATGGAGTCT